AACTTTTATCGGCTCAGCTGGTGCGTCGTCTACCAGCGTTGAAAGAGGCACGCGGAGCGCTTTTGCGATTCCCCGCATTTCGCTCAGCGTTGCCTCGCTTCCTGACGCTACCGCCTGAAACCTCTCAACTGACAATCCGGCATTTTTCGCTGCCGTATTCACCGTAAGGCGACGACTGCTTAAATGGTCGGAAATGCTATTCACGGGCGCGCCTCACGTTTGAGGTCTAGGAGCGCGGCGCGAAGACGCCCAGCTTGATCGTCCGAAAGCTTGCGCATACGTCCGACGATTTCTCGAATGCTATGCGCTGCCTTTTTATCGAATACATCTGCCAGGATATCCACTGATCGCTCGCGACCCAATTGGATTTCGCGATTGCTTTCGAGAACGATTGGATTTTTTCCGACCAAATAATTTCGAATACGCGTATCGAAATTCGAATGCTTGTCGCGTGGATCTTGAGTACCGTCCGCCGTAACGATGATATTGCCTAGTCGTTGACCGGCGATGTCTTGGAGTCTATTTTCCGGGAAGTCCCGGTAAGCGACGAGTTGATCTTCGAGTTTGGTGTCGATCTCAAGGCCACCGATCACGTATTGTTGATATTGCTTCCCCATGCTGCCGCTAATGACAAATATCTGATCCCCCTTGCTCACCAAGCGCCGGAGATCAGGCCTGCACGTTCCCATGGTGGGACGCACTCCCGCGCGGAGAATGGGATCGGCCAACGGTCGCCCCATTCCTGGATCGGAGCGAGGGGATACAAATATGTAGCTAGCCATGACCAATCTCCTGTGAACATTGATGACTGTATTTTTAAACAGTATTGCTTTTTTTGCAAGAGCCTAGCGATTAATGGTGTTTTGCTGCAGAAATGTCCTTTTGGTCCTCAAGAGGCCTATTTCTCAGGCCGGTCCTTGATCAGGAGAGCCCTCATGCATTGGCTCGATTGATGGTTGATTGTCTGGATCTCAAACTTTTTCGGCGATATATGACTGTCTTGCGTCCGGGTTGAGTCCCCGACGAATCCCCTTCACGTTGAACACTAAGGCCGACTTGCCCTCACTGGGTAGTCGGCTTTTTTATGCCCGCGTCATCAAGCGCCGCGTGACTCGCCAATTGGAGGGATTTCCATCCACCCTAGAAGCAGCCATTTGCTGCCACCTCACCTGGAGCTATTCATGACCCAGACTTTTAGCCCTCATGGGCATTCCACATCACCGGTACAAGCTGATGCCGTCTCATTTAAAACAAAAACCAATCCTTCCACGGAATTCGAGCCCTACATCCCACCCAATGAAACAGACGGCTTGGTCACAGTCGACACAGACCTGTGCTGGCGACTGCACCCCGAAGGTCTTGTCACGCCCGCAGCCATAGCCGCCATCTGTTGGGCCAGAAATCATTTCAAAATCCCAGACACCCATCACC